GTACCAGGCTGTAAACATGTTTATTTCTGCTGTTAAGTTGGGCATTTTAACATGGGGGTCTATGGGGACTGACTGGCTTCTGGAGCCAGCTTCAAGTGGCCATTAGAGGAACTGCAGGTTTTGGCACTTGGACATTGGATTTATTTTTCAGCCCTGAAGGTTGCCGCTTGGTGAATGCACGCTTCTTTCTGCACGGTGATACAATAAGTGGGTGTAGTTTGGTTGAAAGAAAATAGTGCCTACATGAAACTCCTCACAACAAGGTCCGTGGATTATCTTCAGTAACCGTGTCATGATTTCTTGAAAGAGACACTGCTGTTGAGTTTTTCAAATGCATAATTTTGACGCTTTGAGCACCACAAGCTGAGTACCATCTAGTTCCATTATATTCATGAGAAGGCAGACATCTCTGTGGCCGTTATCTCCAACACTCTGCAACTCACACCAAAGCAGTCTTGATGTATAAATAACACTACACGTAAGAGGCAAAAAATGCATTCTGATTTTGGGGGTGTACTGTCCCTTTAAGTGTAAGCAAATATAGTAGAGACTGTATTGGTAATGTCAACTTATGAATTTATACACAAAATCTGTTCAGGCTTTCTGAAATTATGTTTCATTCAAATGACATACAGCAACTGTAAAATCACTCTCTGTGGATATAAAGGATTGCTTGCATAAGCAGCTGTTCAGTTATACATTTGATAGTCATGTTTGCTATTGTGCACACTGATATCATTTCATGTAACGCTGCTCTGTTGTGCTCTAAATGTTATGATCATGATATTTCAGCTAATTATTCAGCTCAGTATGAAGTTTTTTTTTTTTCAGAACTGGGCCTTTACAGTCTTAATCCTCTATAAATAAGTAGGTCGAGGTCATTATGTGTCTGATATTATTTGTTGTTCAAAAGTCTTGATTGAAATCCACAGTCATCCTTCAAAAAGCCCTGAGCGAAGGCCAGCACTGCCTTGTATTTGGATTATTATTTAGCTTTTGTATTGCTCTTGGAAGATGTTGAAAATACACTTTACTTTTTAAAAATCAATCAGCCTGTGCTCCTCGTAACTTCACAGTGGGAATCCTGATTGTCTGTATGTCTGTGTGTTTTCTCATATTCACAGTCTCAATGCTTCCTTTTGAAATTGTCCTAATATGGCCAGTAATTGTGACTGCACACTTATATTCAGGAATCTTTTTTTTCTGTGAACCATTGCCCATATCCTGAGGATGATCACCCATTACTGAAAAATGAGCTCTGATTCTTGTGTGTGAACCGCAGCAGGAAGGAAACTGATCTGCTGCCACGACGTAGATCATCCAGCTCCTCTACTGTAATCCCAGCCTTGCATGCGTCTGTGATGTTAACCCTATTAGAGTTGAAAAGGTCACAGTGAGCACATTTACTTGAAGAGGAGACTTTGATCTCCTGGTGGGCCGAACATCCTGTCGGCCTCCCCATAAACACCTCTGGGGGTACAATTCAGAGGAATGGGGAGGGGCGAGTCGGGTGATAAAACCAACCTGTAGACCCCCGGTCAAATACAAACCACAGAATAGAGAATAAGGGAAGTGGAGTAGGAGGGCGAGGAGGGATGCAGTCACTCTCATGTGGCTCCACTGACAATGGTGGGAGGGGTTGACACCTCGCTCCTGGTTATTGGCAGTATCTCCCTCTGACCTCTCCAGACCCGAGGGCAGGCGCAGGGAATGGATGTCGTGAAATGCTGCAATTTTGGTGTTGTTCAAGTTGTTCCTGCCAAGAACCGCAACAGCCCTCAAATAGGCCTCCGTCAACGACATCAGTCCTCCCCCTCCTCCTTCTCTCCTTTTCTCCCCCTCTGGTCCACAAGATCATGTTTTTTTAATAGCTGCCTTATCGTTCCCACCCATGTATGACCACAGAGGAACTCGGCCCTCAGATAAAGGGTCTGCGGCCCTACAGCAAGATGATGTAGACAAGTAAAGAATAAAGAAGTGAGGGGAACTGTTTATTTGTCTGGTTGCTGATAAATGTGTGTTTATTTACCATTTATTTGATCTTTTCTCTCATGAACTGCAAAAAAAACTCCACGTTACCAAATAGTTTTCTCCTGGAAGCCATTTTTTCTTAGAAGAAGTGAAAAAAGGGCCAGTGTGATAAAATCACTGCAACATTTCTGCCAATATAAATCTACTTGCTTTAAGAGTGTGTTCAGAAAAGAAACTTGAAAGAAGTTGGTTTGTACTGGAAAAAACAATAATAGACAAAAACTATTTGGCAAGACTGGAGCAAATATCTAATAAATGATCAAATAAACACATTAAGTTTCATACATTTTAAAAAGAGAGAGTTTGTTTTTCACTTGTTTTATGAAAATAAGACTTGAATGACCCCAATAATACTGAATAAAAAACACTTGTCAGTGTGGATGACGCTCAAAGCATGCATGCATACAGACATAATTAAAATCCAAGCAAGTCAGAGTTTCTGTGTCTGTCTGCGTGTATAATGAGAGAAACTGAAATGCGGTCTCAAGTTTTATCAGAGCAGGAACATCCTCTCTGCCTGTCTCCTCTCGTCCCTCAGCAGGCTTTGAAGTGCAAGTAGTATTGTGTCTAAGAGATCTCTCCATTTGTTTTCCTCTGAAGTCCCCGGAGCCCCCTGCGATGCATTCACTAGAATTTACAAGGTGTGTAATTTACCCTGCGTTGGTTTTCTAATCTTTTGAGTTGCCGAGATCAAACATGCACTTCTTCTTCAGAGCATCTTGTTTGATTCGCATGCTCTCTTTTGTTTCTGATAACAACTGATCACAGCTCTGTGTAAGTAGCCCTGTGGCGTTGTAAACTGGTGTCATGTCACAGAGATCCATCTGATGAGATGTCGTCCTCAGATCCACATGTGTTTTTTTTCACTGTCACAAAAGTTTTAGGAATATAGTTAAGAGTGTAAGCCTAATATGAAAAGCTGTTTTTACACATTTTATTACTGTGAATCAGGAACATAATTATAGGATTATGCCAAGTCTTTATTAAACATCTGAACCTCCCAACAGGACACCTTTGAGGTCTCAGCAGCCAGTGACTGAAGATGTACTCAGATCTTGTACTCGAGTAAAGGTAGCAATGTCAGTCACCATGTAGAAATACTTTGTTACACATTAAAGCTATGCATTGAAAATATTACATTAAGTACAAAAGTATTAGCAGCACAATATATTAAAATAACAAAAGTAAAAATATGCAATACGCAGAATGATTCATTTCAGTATAATATAGCATATTTCATTATTATTATTATTATTATTATGATATCATTAACTACTTTGTTGGTTGATTTTCTTTTGTATTAATAATCTGAATGCACAAAGTAACTAAAGCCATCATAAATGTCCTGGAGTGTTAATGTACGAGATTTGACTCTGAACTGTTGTAGAATATCATAAAATGGAAATAAAGTACAAGTACCTCAAAATTGTGCATGAGTACAATACTCTATTAAATGTAGCCGATTTTCTTTTCACCAGTGCCAGCAACCTTAATCTGTATTAGTATCATCCAAAGTGTTAAATAAGCAGATAAACAACACATAATGATACTAATAATTCTATGAATTAATAGAGAAAAAAAACTATCTTGTTGTGAAAAATATTAGTATGAAATAGCATTTCATAAATTAGAATCTGACTATCCCATGGTTTTTTAATAAATGAAGTACTCAGATGCATGAGTGAAAATGCCACAAGAAAAAAAATAAATACTCCATCATAAGTAAAAGTCCAGCATTGAAACATATTATTTAAGTTAAGGTTTGTTAAGTATCATGAGCAAAATGTACTGCAGTAAAATGGTGAATATTAGTGTTAAACTATCAGATATTACTTATATGTTAATGTGTAAGTAGTATTTTAACTATTTCTATGCAATACCTGTTTGATCCATAGTAACTAAACAAACTAATTGGGTGCATTAATTGGCATCAAATGGAAATGCTGTAAAACTCCAATTAAAAGCCTAGTCTCTTTTACTAACCCAGTGTGGCTACACATTTTGACGAATAAATGCCTGTCTCAATTAGACGCCTGGTCTGGTTGCCAAGCAGTTCTTTTTTTGTAGAAGTTGTCCAGATGTGTAAAAGCGGGTTGTTGGCTACCTCAAATTATGTGTCCATTCCTCGATTACCCTGTAAATTATTCATATTCCTTGAGTCCATAGGGGTCCTCAGATCAAAAGACTCAAAAGGGTTTTTCATGAAAATGAATCCAAGTTGTGAGTGTTGTTTAAACAGGATAAAGTGGTGTTGTGACAGTATGCCAGGTGCCGTAATCCTCGGGTGCCATAATGCTCTCTCTCTGATGTCTGTTGGAGCTAGATCAAATGAGTGATTCATAACTAATATTTTATCTGAAACCTAATTTTTATACGAGTAATATTCATACTGGTTTAAGTAAACAATTTGATTGTGTTGCCCGATCTTTGCTGGGCAACAGTTTTGTGTGAAAGGAACTAAAGGCCTGTCTCATATAGACGCCTGTCCCTAAAATAGGCCCCTTGAGTTCTGTGATTTAAGCGAATATTGGCCCGGGCTATTAATTGAAGTTGTATGGCACTTAAGTAAAGTACAAGCACCTGAAGTTGTCCATGTGTTAAGGTAAATGCACTTACAGCAGCCTGATTATATGGCACCACTAATGTTTTGTCCTTACTTATTCATGTATTTTTTGAATTCCATAATATCCCACTTATTCATTCATTCAATATTGAGCCCTTTTTGGCCTCCATAGATCAGCCTACTGCTCTGTAATATTTTTTTTAACTATTTGGTAATATATATAAGAGGGTTTTACAGTCATATATCCACACACATACAGTAACAATGACAGACTTGATGGCAGTTCTTCCATTACATTTCTGTTTCCAGCAGCGCGTCGCAGGGATGCAGCCAATCAGAGAGCCGCAGTGAAAGCCGAGGAGATGGGAGGAGAAAAAGGCCCAGGAGAGCTTGCAGGAGCTTTTTTCCTGCCTCATCTGTTGCAAAGCTGCGAAAGAGGCGGCGGTCCACGCATCCTGCCAGCTGAAACAGAAGAAACTTTGTGTTAAGTTGCACAGTATCAGCAGGGAAATGCATTAAGAGAAGCCAATGGGAGAATCTACGGATTACACAGCCTGCGCTTTGAAGCCGTGCGTAAAGTAGAAGAAATCTGGTTAGTGGACTATGAGCGAACTTGCGGAACCAGCACGTTTCGCGAGAAGTTAGTTTTTTTTAAGTGTTACAGTTAGATTTAGATAACTGGAAGTTTTCATGACACGTTTTCTGCGACTGTTGAGGGCTGAAGACTGAGAAATAGACGCATCTGTCCGCTCGGAAGTCGAGGAGGATTTTGGAGACTGCAGACATGAGACCGTTTGTCATCTGCGCGCTTCTGCTGTTAAAAGTAAGCAACAGTTCATTACTGTTTAACTAACACACACTATCTCCACCACTCTAAATCCTCTATAATCTGCTGATTTCTTATTTCTCACTCTCATCTCCAAAACATTATAATAGCAGCTATTGTGAGCTTCAGCCACAGAGTTGAGTCTTACACCATTGTTCCCAAAGGAAATCTGTGTTACACCACAGAGCTATGTTTCATTAAGGCTGTGTCACACGGCCCCTGTTGGGTGAATATGTCTGTAGTCAATCTGAAGATGGAAAATCACAGTGAAAGACTGAGAGGAGACATCAGATTTGATTTCTCAAACACAGTAAAGTCAAACTGCTTCTTATTTTCCTATAATGCTGCTTGTCTTGGGCTGTGGCCTACCTACTGTACATCTACACTATCACTAAACATCTCTCAAATATGTTCAGACTCTGAGTGAATGAACTTTGAACATCAGACAAAACACAGGAGCACACAATTAACCAATATTATTCACCCATACTGTGATAAATGTTGTATTTTATGAACAAATTATAGTTCCAGTATGTTTGATAGCTTGTCATTAAGCTGTGATCAGTGTCAGAAGAAGGGCCCTGCCTTCACTGTTACAGACAATAATTTGACACTCATCTACCTCACAAAGCCCATGGGGCTTGTAGTCCTGTCTGAACACGCTCCATGGAGTCAAAGCACTTTGGTTAGATCAAAGTATTTAGATAAAACATCAGTTCTTAGAAAGATGTTTATCTCTGTCCTATCATCAGGGTGTCAGAAAGATTCCTTTTTTTGAAATTTAAGATGCTGTTTTTCAAACAAACCGTGACTTTGAGGTTGTTTCTTTAGCCTACTGAAAAGTGTTTGTGCTGGGAAATGCCTCTGTCATTACTCAGTGGATGATTTAATGCAGAAGTCCATTGTATTTAACAGTATATGAGCACACTGGTAACTGTTGCCTGGACATGTTGCCATATTTGTTGCTTATTCCTGGAGAAAATGTGGCCGAGTGTTCAGTATAGCTGGGGTCTGGATATCCGGAGCAAAGCAATTATCACAATTTTCTCCCAGTTTGTGGTGTGTGTGTGTGTGTGTGTAAGTGGGGGTCTAGCTTAGTTTGTTACCACAGTTATTTGAATTTCCATAGAGTAGTTAAGCAGATTTCTGTGGGGGGCAGACTACTGGATAATTTAGAAATCTGAACCACCTCTCCGCTCTTTGTTGTGAGCTGAGAATCAGCAGATTAAAGGTTAACAGATCACTGTGTGCTGTCTTGTTTGAGTCAGGATCATAGTTTTGGGTGAAACTCATGTCCTTTAATTTGTCCCTGATGCTCCCTATGTACTAATGACAGTAATCAGCGCAGAAGGGATGTGCAGCTCTGACAACTTTCCCTCAGCTCAGGCCGTGTGTGCTTGAAAGACCTCTGTCTGCTGCCGTCACAGGCTCATGGGGTCGTCGTCTTCACAGGAAGAGAGCATCCTTTTGTGTGTTTATTTTCACGAAGATTAGATTAACTGTGGAAACTCCAGCCTACGCACCTTCAAAAGTGGCCTCACTTCAAAAGGGCATAGAGAATGCTGAAATGTAGCGTGTGTGTGTGTGTGTGTGTGTGTGTGTGTGTGTGTGTGCGTGTGTGAGATCCGCGATGACTGAGTGACTCCGGCAGCCGTGGAGTTGAGAGCCCCATTGAAAGCAGTTTGCTCCTCGGTGGTCCGTCTGTTCTCACTGGGGAATCCCTTCAGATTGCAGCTTCTTACCTTAATGGAAAAAGCAACTGCAGCCCCCCTTTCTCTTCAGACTTTCTGCCCCCAAAGCTGCAGATAAGAACGAATAGTATTTGGTGCATGCAAATTAATCTTTGCCTGTAAGATGGATATGACACCTAAGTCGGATATTGTTGATTTATGCACCGCTAAAGTAAAACTGTTTTTATTTTTAAGTTTTATTTTGACCTTACATGTTACAAAACTTAAAGAAAAGCATAACGGGAAAGGAGCATGAATACTTTTTGTCATGAGGTGGATTTATTGGTAATTTTGTCCAGTGAAGGGTGCAGGTTTTATTTTAACATTTAGTGGCATAAGTATGAAACAGAGGGTCCTCCGCCTGAAAATTCTGAGCATTCAACACTTAATTTCCTGCATGCTGGTGATTTTTAATGCAGCAGGGTGTCTGCAGGTTCTTAAAAAGTCTTAAAATGTCTTCAATCTACAAAGAATAGGCATTAAGAGTCATTACATAGTCTTAAATTTGAATTTGCAAGGTACATTTGATCTAATTTGATTTATCCATCTTTTAATTTAGTCAAAATGAGTCAAGCTCTTCAGTGTGAATGTCCAAATTTCTGATACTGCAAATCTTTAAATGTACCATAGAAACCAGTACTGTCTTTTAACTTTAAAATTGCAATTATCTGTTAGCAAAATGTAGATTAACCTAAATCTCTCTAATAACCATATTCCTACATAACCCTACCTCTGCACTGGCACACATATATACTACTAGCCTTTATACTATACTATACTGTACTGCTTGAATACGGAAAATAGTCCAAAAATCAGTCCTAAATTTGGTTCAAAATCATCTTGAAAATGTCATAAAAAGCCTTAAATTTAAGTGTCTGAAACCTGTCGACACCCTGTTTACCAATCTGTGCATTTTCTGCATCCATTTATAAAATAAATGTCTGTGATTTTGTCAAAATAAAAATCATTTGCTACTTTTTATGTCTTGCCTTGGGTGCACATGCACATGTTCTAAATATTAAGGGTGGCATGTCCCCTGCGTCCCTCCTGAAATCTACACCTATTTGTCTAATTTTCTGTAATGATAATGTAGTTTGAAATCATACAGTGTAAACCTTATCATTTGATTGTAGTATTACGTCTAATACATATAAATTGCACACTAGAATGTTCTCTCATACCAATAAAAATTTAGTGATACCCATATGTAGTAATATTTACATTTATTAACACTCTATATACAGTAGTGTCTTAGTCATACCTCTACTGACTAGATCATTGTTCCCGCTTGTCTCTAGTGGGGCATGGACTAAATATTTCATTGTGTGCAGGGCACCAGTGGGTGCGGTGCCAAGCCTTTGGCAGTTCCTGCCCTCCAGGCAGGCTTACAGAGCTCCACCAGCCCTGACTCACACCAGGCTCCGTGAAATGACAGAAATCCAAGCTGAAGATCAAAATAAATCAAAGCCACTGTCACCAAATATTTATCAAAGCGTAGATTGAGGGCTAAGAGGTTAGCTAGTGTTAGCAGAGGAGCTCCATCTGTCACAAGAAGAGGACCCACCAGAGCTGCCAGGAAGCCTCAGTGACTACAAGTTATTACGGTCCAGGCTCAGTCACAGTCTGCCAGCTCCAAACATCCTGCTGGTTCCTGCCTGCTGGACTCCACCACCCCGACACCCTAATACCCCTGATCTGGGTTCTGTGGCTGGTGCTCAGATATCATCAGGCTCCTCTGTAAGCGGCGCAGTAAAACTGGGTGTTGTTTTTGGAACGAGACGAGCCCAGTTTCAAAGCTGGTTCTCCTGTAGTATCAGCATGGAACATTTCAGTGTTTTGTGACTAGGGGCATGGCACACTGTGTGTGTGTGTGTGTGTGTGTGTTTATGTTTCTGGTGGACTTTTTGTTGGAGGCTCTGCAGGTCCGCACACGTTGCTTGTGTTTGTTGGCAGACTTCAGAGACAAAGAGAGACATCAGTGAGTTGTTTAGCTGTTACTTTTCCCCTTTGCAGGAGGTTAGCTGTTAGACATCTGTTTGCTCTTGTCAGCCCCGAGGCAGAGTGGGCCAATCTCCCTTAAATGTGTGCATGTTTAAGATGCCGTCGCTCAGAGCCTGGAGAAGGGGAGTTAGTGAAATACTGACCTTCGTAGACACACCTGCGACATCAAAGGCCCCCTCTCACCCAAACAGACACTTGCATGCTGGGCAGCCTTGGATAACTGACACCCTTGCCTGGGGCTGAAACTGTCTCCTTTATATTACTGCCCCCCCCCCCCGGCTTTCTGATGTCAAGAAATACACACACATACACTGTATTCACACACACAGTTACACATTGTCATTCGTGTTGATTTTGGAGTAAGTGGGAGGGCGGAAGCTCTTTTTACTTCTTCCTTCCTCTTTTCTGAGTGTTTTCCTTCACCCTTCCTTCATGTCTTATTCTTTCCAGTGGTCTAAAGCCATCTGATTAAAGCCAGCCACTCCTGTCAGGCACCAGCCCTGCTGCACAGGCCGTTAGGAATGTCTGATCTATCCCTCATGTCATAACTCAAGCCGGGCTCGCCATTACCCACTTGCAGATAAGGACTCAGAGCACTTTAACGGTGAAAACTGAGGCAGATAGAAAGATAAAAAAAAAGGCCATTTTCAGTTCACCCAGTTCCCCGCTTCTTCAGTTGCACAGGGGCCGGATGTGTGTGTGATTTTCTTCCCACATGCGGTATAAGACAGAGAACTCCTTGGACAAAGAAAAAAAACTTTCTTTTTATTTTTTTTAATTTGGCAACCACCTCAGTTAAACATGATGAATCCTGTGACTGTTGTGTCAAAATAAAGACAGTTGATTATGAAAGGCCCAAGAGCTAAGATAGTGTTTGTTTTTTTAAACAGTGGTGCTATTTGTTTCTAAGTGCTATGTATTTACTGCAGGTTACTCTTGGAGATGCCTGTGCCAGCGGCCAGTTCACTGAATCAGGGCAGTGTTGCAGTCTGTGTCCCGCTGGCTTTGAAGTGGAGGTACAGTGTGGGGAAGAGGATACCAAGTGCACACCATGCCCACAGGGTAAGCAGTTATAATCTAATGTTACTGCGCCGATGCGGAATATGTTTTACCTGCCTTATCATTATCTCTGTCAGCCCCTCAAGAGAATTTAACTGCACTGCGTCACTGATATTTGTGAGAGAAACACAGTTTATCCAGACTGGTACTGATTTTGTTATCTGTTTCCCAGGAACGTTTTCCTCGTCTGAGGGCCTCGGCCCTTGCATTCCCTGTGCCAAGTGCCCACCTAGTGTTCCCATGGTGGCCGCTTGCACTGCCACTCAAGAAACACAATGCGAATGTGACAATGGCTTCTTCTTTTTGAGCAACCACCACCTGTGTGCGCCTTGCTCCAAATGCAACCGTGGCGAGGGTGTCATCCGGGACTGTGGCCTTCAGGGAAATACGCAGTGCCAGATCTGTGGCCCGGGAACATTTTCTGAGGAGATTACTAGCACCAAACCCTGCCAGACCTGCACCCAGTGCTCGGACAGCGAGGTGGAGATCCGACACTGCATGCCCAACTCAGACACGCTCTGCATGGGTGAGTAGTAAGGAAGACTTAGACAGACAAGATACATTGGATTTTAAATACAAATCTGCTGATATTCTCTGTTTGTGTTATTGTTAACAAATCCAAATAAAAGACCCAAAACAGCAATGAATTAATTTCACAAAACTAACAACTATTCACCGTATGTGTGAGCCAAAGAGTTAATGTCTTTGTGCCATAGACCTACATTGTTGTCCAACCACTTAGTTAAAGGAATACTTCACTGAATGAATATCTGGATATTAATTACTTACCCGGGGTCAGTATTAGGGATAGACCGACATGGATTTTTTAGGGCCGATGCCGATACCGATTTTTTTCCATCGCCCTTAGCCGATGACCGATTATGGACTGCCAATTTTCTTGAGCCGATATTTGGGGACGATACTGCTTTTGCTCCCTCAATTTACATTAAAAAAATGACACAATGATAACAAATATTACAGGTCTCAAGTTTAAAATAAGAAACATTTATTGAACAGTAAAAAATACTAAAACAAGATGGAAAGTTGAGGTAGAACAGGTAGAATATTATTATTATTATACATTCAAATAAAAAAAGAGTTCAGTGCTCTTAAATCTTCCAGTAATGTCTTTATAAAATAAACAAATATTTAAGCTGAAGCATAAATAAAACAACAACTACTGTACACAGCAGGATTTGCTGCATGTGCGCTGCAGGGTCTTCCGGCAACACAGAGCTGCCCGTGGATGCCTGTCTGTAAATCATGCCAGGGAAAAATAAATCCGCAAACCCACGGCGTATCAGCCGATGCCGATACAAGTAAAAAACTCAAATATCAGCCCGATATATCGGCCGGCCGATGTATCGGTCTATCTTCAGTCAGTATCTGTTTACAAACTCAAACACACAACTTGTGCAGTATAATCCTGTCATTTATCCGGTCTTTTGTTTTTTTTGCTCCGATATTTCCAAACACATGCATTTGAACTAAAACCTTCATATTTGAATCTGAACTGAAAGGGGAACTTATCCTTGCTATCTTCAAAGCCAGACTCTTTTGACAAGATCTTTTTTACCTTGCTGAACACGGGAGCTGCTGATCTACTGCTGCCTTGATCAGTTTGTTTGTATTGTGTGACTTATGTGTTTTGAAGGGTTAGTTTGGATCCAGCAAAATCACATAAAAATACACCTTTTACATTCAAAATTAGTGCGTGTATGCAGTTTTTTAAATTCGGGAAAACCTGTTATAAATAGGCAATAGACTGCAGATCGGAGCTGGAGCCGATAAATACGCATGACAACTGCTGAGTCATTTGTCCTGGGAATGATTGTAACCTTTCCCATTAAATACAAACGCCAGATGTTAGTGGGTGTTGGTGTTTTTTTTTTTTTTTTTGTCCAGTGAGAAAGGGGCTTTACAAAAACAAACTACAGATTGAGGCGGCAGTAGACCAGAAGCTCTCGTGTTCACCAAAGTAAAATTACTGTTTTTGAGTCTGGCTTTAAAGAGAGCATAAATATGTTTTTCTTTGAGTTCAGTTTTAAATAGCAAGGTCTTAAAGAAAGTGCATGTGTTTGGAAAGTACTGAGTATATGATTGGATGAATGAGACTTGGATTATACTGCAGGAGTCGTGTAAGAGTTTGTAAACAGATGTTTTGTGATAGATTTGCTGTTGTTAAATGTGGACCCCTTTGACTTCAATTGATCAAGAATGTCCTGAGTTTTTGGAGTCTTCATTCACTGGAGGCATGTGAGAAAAATAAAGTTTTCTTTTAAAAATTCAGTGCAACTCGGGGTGAGTGATTCATATACAAATGATCATTCATGGGGTAAAGTATTCCTTTAATGTTAAATTAATTATACACAGCTGAAAAAAGTACCCAGTGAACACAGTTTACTGCTTTTTAAATGTCATTTGTTAAAAACAGCCCTTTCTGTTTTAGTAAATTACATTACCTTTGGAAAAAAGTTGCTATAAATTTGTGGCCAGTTTTTAAAAATGTCTTCAGTAGGAATGACTGGGCTTGGGGAAGAGTGCCACAGACATAGTAAGAAAATTAGAAAAGTACAGAAAGACAGACTTTTTGGTCTTTTAATGGGATTTGCCAGTTGTGGTAGTGCCAGCTTTATCCTTTAAAGATCTGAAACGCAAGAGAAAAAGATAAAAGAATGAGCTAAAGGGAGGGGGACAGGGAGTCGGAGGGGCCTGTGAGAATACAAGGACATGTGGTCAACACCTGCATCCACACCTCATGTGAACACTCTGTAACACTCTGAGCTGAGAAACATGAGTAGTGAAAAAAGAGCCCACTTAAGTGCTGTAATCCAATTGGTATGAGCTTGACAGGTCTTTAGGTTAACTGCCCCCAAAAACCTCAAGGCCAAGGGAGGCTGCTGACCCTGACAACTAGTCCTCTCGCTCCCAAATGGCTACACTCGCTCTCCAGGAGTAAGGTCATCTGTACACACTCTGGGTCCATATGTCATGACCCTTTGACCCCAGAGGGGTCAGCACGGTACCATGGAGTGTTTGATCCTAAAATAGGCAGACCGCAGGAGGGAGAACGAGGCTGGAAGCAGGGGCAATGAAAGGATTCAAAACTCCAGGGGACCGGGACGACTGGGGCTATTATTACATCAGGCGTACAGGCTTCTGTGGAATTATTTCAGGCCCTAATTTATGCAGCCCAAATGTGTCTCTGATGTGCATATGTGCAGATGCACGATACAGCCCCTGACACGTCCCTCTCTTTCTCAATCTCAATAGACAAGAAGCTGCACATTCTGTCCCGTCCTGCTCAGGGTGGGTCCGATGCTTCTCGCTGGCCAGTTGTCGATGAGGGGATGGAAGGGCAGACCAGTCCTGCCCCTGGAACGCACAAGTTTACCCCACAAGATGAGAGCGGCAGCAACAACATTCTGGCCTATGTGTCTGTCCTGGCTGCCGTGGTGCTGGGTCTGCTTCTTTATGTGGCTTATAAATGGTGAGTCCTCACTAGGGATGGGTCCTAGTCCTTAAATGGATGTGATAAAGATGAAGAGATTGGCTCTGAGATGAAAAATAGCTCTCAGTGGTTAGCTTAACTCACATTGTTTTCTTCTGCTCTTCTTAGCTGGAGATCGTGTAAACAGAAGAAGGCTCTTTCTAAGGCCCGTGCAGCTGAGTTGGGAGCATCTCCAGAGGGAGAAAAGCTTCAAAGTGACAGCGGTGTTTTTCTGGACTCTCAGAGCCTGCAGGACAACCAGCCCAGCAAAGGTGTGGTAGACACAGGCCTTGTTAATAAAACTTAAAATGATGTGGGACTTTCCAATATAAAAGGACTTTATTAGAAACAGGAAATTTCATTTTCTGACAAAACGTATTTTCCAGAGCTGCGGACTCCATTCACATGACTCGGACTCAAGTCAAAAATTTGACGACTTTAGAAGTGACAAAAGCAAAAAAGACTTGCAACTTCACTTGAACTTCAACACCAATAACTTGTGACTTCCCTTGGACTTGAGCCCTCTGACTTGAAAATACTTCCCTCAAGCCAAAAGACTTAAAAATGTTATTTAAAAAGTGTGGCACAAATCATTTTATTTCCCTTCATTTCCTGAATCAGCTAATGTTACTTATTCCCAGCACGTCGACACTTAATTCCCCAGATGATCCAATATGTTTGAATCAATTTGACGGCATCCAGTCAAGTTGCAGGAGACAGCCACAAAAAACAGTTACAGACGGAGATGCAACAACTTCCAACAAATTTGTTTTCGACAGATAAATACACATTTTAAAAAGCATTTGTGATCTTGGTAAATGTAATATATAATCACTCTCTTGTTAAAATGGCATTACAATGTGTGAAGAGTGCAATATGACTTGGGACTTGTCAGTCATGACTTGGCATTTGATTCGGCACTTGAGTGTGAAGACCTGAGGCTTACTTGTGACTTGCAAAACAATAACTTGGTCCCATCTCTGCTATTTTTCTCCACCCTGTGCAGTATTTTCCCACTAGCACTAGTTAGCACACTAGCTATTTAGCATTGTTTTTGTAAGTCGGTCCTCAATTTGTTTCTTTTATTTTATGTAAATTCACAAAGACGCCTATGTACATGCTTTCCTGACACCAGATTTTGGCTATCCAGTGATGGACAGTCGATGGCACCAATGCACCAAAAAACGTAGCAATGTGCCAACAAAAAGATCTGAAGAAGGCTGCTAGCTAGTGAACATGGATGTAAACAATGCAGGTTTCAAAATACTTTAAAAAAATTGACTCTTTAAACTCATTATAAGGAAGTAAATGCATTCGACACATTTGCTAAGGAGTGGGTTTTTGAAAGAAACACTGAATTTAAACGTGGGTTTATTTACATGAAAACTCCACAGGGCACCTTTAAGTTCCAGATGTTTCCCACAGGAATAATGACATGGAAGCTTTCTAATTTCACGCCTATGAAATGTTGAACTTCAAAAAGAAATGTAGCATGACACCCATGCTTTTAACCTTTTAATTTGGCGCATTATAAATAGTATACATACTACAATTATTAATGAAAATAAATTTTTAATGTTGTTGATTTCTACAGGGACGAAGAGGGACAGCAAGCAGGACAACCGCCTTTACGTCAACCTACCCCCCAACAGACAGGAAGAGGTGGAGCGCCTCCTACAGGAGGGAGGGGGCCGGGGGTGGAGGCAGTTGGGCGCAGCGCTGGGCTACGAGCCTGAACAGCTGGACCTGTTTGGGCGTGGAGAGGCCCCTGCTCACACGCTCCTCTCTAACTGGGCCCAGAAAGAAGGCGCCACTCTGGGACTGCTGTGTTCTGCACTGGCCCGCATTGAGAGGCCCGACGTGGTAACGGCTCTTAACTGCCCCGCACAGGGTGTTTCTTTGGTCTGACGGCTCCTTGAATGAACATGTGACACTGACAGACTCGTGTGAAGAACTCTGAAATGACAAGGATGGCACTCTGATATCAGCACCTGTCATTGATCATGATCCAGATTGCTTTGTTGGACACTTACAATCCAGTTTTTACAAAGAGAACAAAAATATTCTTGTATTATTTACTTGAGGGAACAACATTTTTTAATTCTGGTTAAGCCTCAACGCCTTACTCAGCGGACACTGCAGAAACCTGGTCACATTGGATTAGAACAACAATGACCTCTACATACACAACAATAAGTACATTTACAAAGTTGTTTACATGCACACTAATCCTGGTAACTGTGAGTGTTTGGTTAGTGGCAGGAAACAGAATAATGTGTTTACTCTCATCACACAAGTGTGATTATTCGAAAAACCACTGTTTACATGATATTTGGATAGCAATCAGACTTGTCCCCCACCCCCACTAAAAAATATCAGCCTTCCGTTCACCATTGTAAACAAATACAGCTTAGATCATCATTTCTAGTAAAGCTAGCCTGGTTTTATGAATCACAACTTCAGCAACCTCTTTGGTTTTGCAGATGATTTTTTGCCAGAAGGAGATGGTTTCTTCCAACAACTCTGCTTTCCAACATGATGTGACTTTCCCTATTTGGGATCATTTCTGTGCACATGTGCATGCCTAAGAAGAGAAGAAAAATCCAAGAAACCCAGTCAAGGGTTTATGTGGCCAAGTGATCAAACCCTCCCGATGATGCTTGCAGTTGCTAAGAAGACTTTATCTGATGTGTACATGGGACCTACTCACTAGATTGTTTTTTTAGTTTGTTGTCTTGTTTTTTTGTTTCTTTCCTGCTGCAGTCACTACGTAGCCTTGGTATTTATTCACACTGAGGATATATTATGCACCAGTTATGTTTCATATCTTATCAGAAGACAAGAAAATGAAGCATTCTTAAAAACACCTTTCTTAGCTCTTCCTAATAATCATCTATGATTGTAAATATCTTAAATATGAATTTGATAAGTCATGGCTTAAAGTGAGATCATTTATGAACTGTGAAGGCTGAAGAAGGGAATAGAAATTAACCTATTCTCTTTACATTCATAAGACACAGCTCCATTTTTGTCACCTTGATTTCTCATAGTAGACAGAAAAAAAAAGTTCACGTCAACGCTCGTGTCCAATCTTTCCAGCTTGCTTTTGTATTTATTTCACCACCGTTTCAAGTATAAAACTAAATAAAATCTATGAGAACCATGGACATCTGCAGTGTGCTAGTTACACTATGTGATGGCCTTAGATGGTTTGATATTTTTTCTATCGCCAGCCATGTATGGTTTTATGTATATATTTCCTAGTGGTATGCCTTAATGTGTTTTGTAAGATTTTTTATTCATTTAATAAATAACTTTGATAAGTCAGTGCTCTTTTGTTGTAACAGAAGGACTGAATATGATACTGAAGTAATGCTGCAGATCAGGGATTCACCATGGGGATACTTCTGCAGTTACTTATGGTGTGACTGTGGAGTAGCTCAATTCATTTTGAAATATATATGTGTGGGTGTGTGGGTGTGTGTGTTGGCAAGCAGGCAGAGATGTTGATACAGGTAAAAGGGATGGCTAAATAATAATGGTTTAAATAGCTACGACTGTTATAATAACAGTTAAAACTGTAACCGTAAAATAATGGCTAAGGGACTCTACGTCATTTATTAGAGGAGTGGGTGGGTTGGGGTGTGACGTTATTTACTTATTTATTTTTTCTCATCTCGCCCCTCCTGAAGCTACAAATATATTTTCTTGAGCCTCCCTGAGTGACTGGGGGAAAATGCTTGACCTCCCTCCACCATAAATTTTTTAAAGTATTCACACCAAATGCAGGTATTGGAGTCAAGGCGAAGTGCGAACAGCAGGGGAGTACTGCACACAGAGTGCCAATGACCCATACACACACAGCTGGCAGTAGCAATGTGCATATAATGGTAGCTTCCCCACATAAACATAAAAAAGTTGCTGTTTTAAAGTTAAAAATTGAAAAAAAAAGTCATGTTTTTTTCACTGTTGATATTCATGCAGGGGTGCAGAATTTAATTTCTCTACAGGACCTGGTAGTGCAAACTGTTTATTTTTGGTGAAATTTTAAATGAAACACAGAATAAAATAGTATTTATGAGCGAAGCTGCCGTAAATTTAAAAATTCATTGATGATTTCTGTTTTATAGTTTCTGGCTGTTTGGTGTAATTTTGGAAATTTTTAAACAAAACCTGCCTTTCAAACACATGACTAGAATTTAGGGTTCAGATGGTACCTAAAAAAATACAAAATATTACCATCTAAAGTTACAAGTCCCTCCCTTAAGCCAAAATATAAAACATGAGTCCGTTTGCAGTGCTTACAAAATATTTGACTTGCCGCCCCAAGTTTCCCCAAACCCCTCTCCTGTCAGAAATAACAAACACTCCCTAAAAAGTTGAAATAATCAGCTAGAGTTAGAGTTGACACAGTTATCATAAACTAATACATAGTGAACTACCTAAAATGTATGGATACATGTGATGGATTAACAATTCAAATATCTAAAAGTACAGCTGAAATAGTTAGCATAAATTAATGGATAAATAGTGAAAATAAATAAAGTTAGTGAAAAGTAATAGATAAATAGCTGAAATAGCTAAAAGCAATAAATGGCTAAATGTTTGAAGTAGCAGCTAAAATTAAATTAATACATTTAAAATAGCAAGAATAAATGGTGTTGACAATTAGGGGGCACTTGAGTTCATCTGATAAGGTTGAGAGTGTACAAGTGGGTTGATACTTAGAGATTTATTATCAGATATCTTTGTGTTGTACCTCCCATAGACCCTAAACAATTAGCAGTTTAGGATCAAATCAGGCATTTCTTATGTAATTTGGACGTCATGTGCCTTTATATTTATAGCAACACCAACATTTTTTTCTTTTTTAACGTTCACAGAAATATGAAAATTACTGGACCACAACCACATTACTACAGACATGTCTGTCATTTACAGTAAATCATAAAACCCACTTGATGAATAACACAGGGAGGAAGTTTGGACATATTTGGAATATACTACCCCTTATCAAGGGATTTAGTATATAAGAACATTTCCTATCCAAAACCCTGAGGGAAATCAGTTAAGAGGTATTTAATAATTTGAGGGTGAAATGAAAATAATGGCTCCGTCCAAAATATTCTGCAGGAAAGTTTCCTCTTTCTCTCCGAGGCACAATCTGATTCCTGCTCCCCCTCTGCTCCGCTCTGAACTCAAATCTGTTAATGATCTCTTTGCATTCGGGCTCTAAGTGGGAGCAGGCATCTTGCATGGCCTAGGGCAGTGTTACATGCCGTCACACACTCCAGACGGGACTGCTTAACTGCGGTCTGGAGCACACAGGCATGGGGCTGCGGAATGTGCACACACTGGGAGGGGGGTTGGGACCGGCGAGAGAGGAGGAAGCAGAGCAGCGCCTCTCTCCACTCGTCACGGGTCTCCATATTTAGAGTGCACAGAGCATCTCTAATGAAGGCAGTCGATCACTTTGATTCCCTTTACTGGGGCCAAACATCTGGCTCAACACTGCGTACGCGATGTAGTGGCACTCATGCCGTGTGCACCCCTTATTAGAGGAGGTAGCCAATCTAAAACGGGATTGGGTGTGCACTCAGCAGTTCATCATGTAACAGAGGTCACTCACATTTGCTCAGATCTGTTTAACTGACACCCAATTTAACTGCACAGCAGGGATATAATTTTACAAAAAAGTTTATTATCTTTTAAAATGTTTGTACACTCCGTATGACAATGTGCTTACACAATACTTACAGTAGAGTTGGGTGAAACTTACTTTGTACATAGAAAAATAATAATAAACAAACAGAAAAAAAAGAAACATGAAAATCTCCCCCGCCACTGAAATAAAATGGAGGGCTGTGAGTCAGCGGGTTTCCTAAGTTCTGACAGACTGATGTGGGAACTGCATCAGGAGGGCTGAGCTGGTGAGGATGGGTGGGCTCGCTGTGCTCCCTGACCCCTACTCTCCTGCGTACAGCTTTGGTAACTTTACATATTATTTACACTTTCAATCATGAAATGATAGTCCTTTTACAAAGTGTCTGCTTATTTAAACATTCCCAAAACTATTATTCAATATATTCACATATAAAGCAATGTACATATGTTGGAACTTTCAATGCAATTTAATAACCTGCAACAAATTAATGACCTAATGCTAATGAGCCTACTCTGACAACCGTAAAAATCTTGGGAATTAATGAATGACAGTTTGTGAAACAAGGCCGGCCTATGTGTCGTCTAACGAGGACTGATTAAAAAAATAAGAACGAGAACACACAAGATGTTTAGAAACGGTTAAAACTGAAATCCTACAACTTTCATTTTCAACCTTATTCCTGCGAGAGGAGGAAACAGGGGCAGGACAAGTCGGGAGAGGGGTTGGACAGGAAATGGGGGGGAAAATCTGATACACAGCTAAACAGCACATCAAACACAGCATTCAAACCCTGCTCCCATTATTATACATAACTTTATAAAAGACATAATGATCACTATGCCAACCTGCTGGTTACTGGCTGATCCCTAAGTGTATTGTGAGTGAAGCTCATCCTGGTGAGGGCATATTACTTGAAGCAGGACATGTGGAAAACGTAGGAATTTCCATAAGGATACCAAACTGACCTCAGCCTACATCATGCATTCATAAAACAACAGAGGCTCCAAAGTCTCGTGGTTAAGAAGGCAGGGTTTGAGGAGTGGAAGCTTGGACCTCCACAGCCCAGTTAAAAGCAGCACCAGATACAGAGTCAGTGGTGGGGGGTTGAAGCATGAAAACATGAAAAAGGAAGTGGGAGGGGGGGGGGAGAAGGGACTGGACTGTTGGGTCATTGATCCATTTTTAACAGTGGAAAGTAACAAACTAACTCTGATAAATATGATACCAAAGATTCAATTGAGTAATCCTCGTTCAGGACTACAAGAGTTTAAAAAGTGGAATTCAGGTGATCATCTGGAGAACATTTAAGAACCACAAATGGAAAAAAAAACCCAAATGCTTAAAATCAAACAGTCAGTGAGAACGTTAGTCTCTGTAGCACCCCGCAGTGTCGTCCTTCGAGAACACTGCACCTGGAGCTTTCGGGGTCGTTCACCGACACTCGAGTCTCCGCCAGTCTCAAGAACGGGGCTCCTCCGTGATCCACCGGGCCTGGAGAGCTTCTTGGGCAGCAGTGCAATTCTTAGTCATAAATATGCGTAAGAAACTACTTCACAGCTCAGGCTGGCCAGTAACATACATGAAGGAGTGAATGGAAAGGCAAATGTGTGCTTCTCCGGTGTTCGCACAGAGCAAGAGTAACATCTGTGGCCACTGAGGCTAGTACACCTCTGTGTCCTCCTTGGGCCTGTACACGGGGCCGAATCTCTGCATGTACTTCTTGATGTACTCCTTGGTCTTGTGCTTCACATTCTCGTTACACTCAAGGTCCTCAGGATTGTTGCAAGCTTTCAGCTCCTTATTCATAACTCCGTGAGTTAGCTGGAGGAATGGGCAGAGATGGGGAAAGAGTCAGACATGTTTCTTGTCACCAGACTACAGTTAATTATATAATTACAATGTATATGTAAGTTGCGGTGGAGTGGTTGGATGGTTAATTCTCTTGTAGTGACTTTGCCCTTTATAATTTGAGACAATAAAAATGCAATCTCTAAATGAGCGAAGCCCAACTCGTCTTTCTGTTTATTGTGCCCATGTGCTCAGAGTCCTGGTATGTCCGAGTGGCACTCAGCGCAAACCACTCCCTACATACACAATCCATGGACCTACCAGGAACCTTGGGGGAAAAAAAACAAAAAGAATGCTGCTCTTTGAAGAAACGCTGGTTGCAAAGAGCTTTTAGAAAGGAATGAGTAAAACAAAAGCGAGGGAGATAATAGTTTACATGTACAATGTGTTTTTAGTCTCTTCCAGAGGCACAATACAAAAACATGTGGCTGGAAAAAGAAATCGTTGGAGCTCAACTATTTAGCTCTGGTTTGAGGAAAACTTTGCCTTTTAAGTTTAAAGCTGACCAATACTTTAATTGTGTCTGACCAGGCGGGGGCCAAGGTTTATAGCTTCTCTGCATTAATAGACGCTCTAAGTGCATGTGTAAACATCTTGTTTAATCTTACCTTTCTAGCCAGGTGTTTGAAGTCTTCTGTGTTGCTGATGCGTCCAAGTTTGCAGTCTGGTTTCCGATAAGGATTTAGACACTGCACTATGAACTGAGACATCTGAGTAACATACACACACATGCAAAAAGACTTGTTAAGAAGCGAAGAATATGTGGGAACAAATGGAAACTTGCATGGGTGGCTAGAAGAGGTTTGGAACTTAAAAACATCTGGAGTTAAATAACATTGCTGCGGACATTGTTTACAGAGACTCTGGCTCACCTCTTTGCGAAATGTCTCTTTACTCTTTTTAGCCAGCTCACTCGAAGTGTCTGCTTCAGCTGTCTTTGTGGAAAACTGTAACAACATTGTGAAAACACAAAGAGAGATGGATGAGATGATTAAACTGCTTTTTAGCAAACAAGTTTTGTTTGTTTCACATTAAAGGGATAGTTTGGATTTTCTGAAGCAGGGTTGTATAAGGGCCTTATCCACAGTCAGTTTATCATCTGCAGTAGATGGCGGTCGGCACACCCACAGTTTGGAGAAGCAGGAAGGAGTTCTGCCACAGAGACTAAGCAATTTGCTGCTGCGGAGGGGGGCAGCAGCAAAACATATTTCAGCCACCTAAAAAAACCAATATCAGTTTAAGTGTGTGCTATATTCAGAGCATTTTTACCTTGCTGCCAGACAGCCCTTTCTAACAGGTAACTGAAGCTGTTATATCCATTTATGGTCTTGTCAATGCCACCAAACTCCACTGACAAAAACAGTAATTTTACCTCACAGAATACTGGAGTATGGAGCTGGTCTATCGCTGCCTCGGTCGATTAGTTTGTGAATGTTCTGAATCTAAAGTAACCATTTAAAACTCCAAACTCAAACAATAATACAAACTAACTAACCAATCAAGGCAGCAGTAGACCAACAACACCCGTCTTCTGTGAGGTAAAATTAGTGCATTTCTCAATGGAGTCTGGTGTCTGGGAAGAGGGCATGGATAATGGCTTCAGTTCCCCGATGGAAAGGGCTGTCTGACAGCAAAGTTGAGTGGTGAAACTATTCTAAATATAGTGTACACTTAAACTGGTATTGAGTGTTTTAGGTGGCTAAAATTCATTTTGTTGCTGCCCCACGTCTACAGCAAGCTGCGAGCGTTCAGACACACAGAGGCGGAATGGCGAGTTGATCGGAGACGCCCAATTTTCCGCCTCGTAGGGTAGTCATATTGGCGGAACCCTTTCAGTTTAAACAAACCGAGGTGGCCTTCCACAACGGGAGGGGCTGTTGAAGACTTGTGGTAGGAGCTGTTGATAATGCTGCACGAGCGAGCCACTGGTGGTGGATAAATAGGAAACAGCTGATAGCACGAATTAGCGAGCAGCAACAGACACTGTAAAGATGAGCAACTGGGGAGACATGGCATTGCGCGCCCTCCTTGCCCTCGCAAACGAAGAGGCCATTAACCGTCAGATGACGGTGAAGGACGGGCCGACTTACGAGAGAATCGCCTCCTGACTAGCCGCGGCTTCCCTCCCACGTCACTGTTTACGTCACACGCTGAGCTACAAGTCTTGTTACTTGCTCACGCCCCCCATTGCCCCGAAAAAGGCACATTCTGTATAAACAAAAGTAGGTAGGCGGCATTTTGCTGCACTCCCGGATTTTGTTTTTATACTGCCAATACTGAAAAAACACTGATTGGGCTTTCCTGCTAATTTGCACAATTCGTATCTAAAAAGGGCTTCTGTTTCTCCAAACTGGGGGTGCACCAACCACCATCTAATGTAGGTAATACACTGACTATGGATGCAAGTACCTCATACAGTCCTACTTGAAAAAATCCAAGCTATCCCTTTAAAGGATAACGTGTCACAAACGAATTACCATCTCATTCTTTCATCAGTTTGTCAGTCATTTTCTCAGCTATAGAGGAAGACAGTAATAACATGTCATACTGACATAACCCAGCAGGGTAATTTTCCACAATTAAAATCTCAAGTGAGGCCCCACCTGTGAATCATCTCAATCAAACATGGCAACTGGCTGCAAAACAGTAGCTATCAAGGTCAGTGGGGCATCAAACAGCACCTGCTCACCAGCCACTTGACACAAAGCAGGGATATCCTGCCAGGATGCTGCCCCTCCGGCACCAGCCTTCAACTACAAAGGCAAGCAGGCAACAGCTGACTGCGTATACCCACAACAAAGTGGTAAGGAGCAAAAGCAAGCACCAAGGATTCACACAAACACAGTGCCAGGGCCAGGAATCCAGAAACTGTGAAATCGGATGCTTTACAAGTGCAGAGCATGTGCCATAGTTTCGAGCACTGGATGTGGACACCACCACAGTCTAAACACATGCTGGGAAATGGTCCATGACCTTGTAGCTGTTCTTGGCGGGAAACGCTGCATGAAAAACATGAATCTCTCCATCTCAGTTTTTGACGCTTTTTTTCCGACTCTATTACATCTTTTTAAAAGAGACAAAAAGGGACACTTGCGTAGTTAAACTATAACACAAGAAACCACAAATAAATGAATGCTGGGTCTTCCAGATGGTTTCTATTATCCACAAAGTCAGGATAAAAATGAAGATGGAAAACAAACGAGGCAAAGGAAGAAGAGATGAGCTGAGCCACCCCTCCCCTTACAGCCTCGAGGCTAAGGGACAGACAGCTGAGCTGGGGGTGGAGTGAGTGGGATCTCTCTTTAAATCTTTGTCTCCATGTAGATTCTGATGAAGCCATTTTGCGAGGAGGAGTCATCTGCGAGGACATAACACTCGCTGAATGTGGTGTCGTGCTCAGAGTTTTTCTTTTTTTCCCCCTTGAGACACAGCTGAAAGTAATCACTGGTGCAGCATCTTCAATTACCTCAAGGAACAAACACTATAATCATGTTCTGCATCCAAGCACAAACTTTCTGGGAACCAAACGAAAAAGCGAAGAGAATTCTTCCTCATTGTTAAATGAGGAAACAGATTTTTTTGGTCACTATGCAGCTACTATTTAAAAAAAAAACCCAGAAGTGTCAACTGCTACACATATTTCACATTTCACAGCGCACATAAAAATGACGAGTGCTCACCTTGGAGGGATTCTCGTCATAAGTGGGTGTTCCCAGGTCCATCTCAGATTCATGGTCCACACTAGTGTTGTCGCTACTTCCATCCCAGATTGGAGGGTCCCACTGTGTTTGCCTGATGCACAGAGAGGAGTAATGTCAGATAGAAATGCAATGCAGAGGAGGAGGAGGAGGGGGTTCATAGAGGTACAAAAACACACTTCACAGACACACAGCAATACCCACCTTGTGACAATATGGTAGTAGTAGATCTTGCCTTCATTGTCCCGGGCCACTTTCCAGTTGGGAGGTAGGACGATAGTTTTGGGTTTGGGGGGAGAGGGAGGAGGCAAATCTATCACATTGTTGGGTACAATCATTTCCTGCAGAGGAGAAGAAACAGAAAATAAGCATTAGCAGAAAATCCCTGTAGCTTCACTTTGGATTACCTCTTTTGGACTTTGCTAAAAGAAAAAACTTAATTCACTAAAGCTGCCTTTTTTTGACAATTGTAGTTTAAAGTTATAGATGATTGCATTTAGATTCCTTTTCACAAATGGAGCCCACTGAGCTCTTTTCTTTATTTGTTGTAACTTAAGTCATATCTTAGCAGGAACTGTGTCATTATGTGAGACAGGAACCACATACTGTAGCTCTTACAAGCTGCAAAATTCAGATGTATACTGCCCCCTTGTGGCCACAGTGAGACAGAAGGGTTTCTCAAAATCACGTCACATAATATAGATTTCTGAAATCCCAAAGATCGTCAAAATGCAGACTTAAACAGCCCAATAAACTATTGCATCCTTCAAAACAGTGACTCTGCAATGTTACCACATGTTGCTTAAGAGTCTATATATTGTTCCTTAACTAATGATGTACAGTTGTTAATTATCAGTCAGATGTATCTTGCCCCATTATCCTGTTTCCACTAATTCCACTACTTTTCAAGTGCCCATAATAATAATAATAAGAATTAGGAGTAGTAGTGCATATCATAGAAAGGGAAACATTGGGATTCATTATCCTACATGTGAAATCACACTGTCAGCAGCATTATTTTTCTCTTATTCACACATGTCAAATTTAAACGAAGAAACGTACGTTATGGTAAACAAAATGTTGTCACACATTAACACATATTAGATCTACATGACGTTAACAGACGCAGAAATGATTCTACTGTTATCTTAAATGACGTAAAAGGTTATCCATGGAGAATTATTGTAACAATTTCATTACACACAACAAATTTCCAAGTCTTCTTCAAAACTTAAAAAGATGTCACTAATTCCATGACTTCCCCAGGTTGTTAATGACTGTGGGAACCCTGAATTTTAACACAGATTTTGTATTTATTACCTGTTGGACAGTTTGGGATGTGACAATGGTGGTGACTGTGCCTCCCTGCTGCACCACCACTCCCTGCTGATGGCCAGGATACACAGGCTGACTGTGCAGGTAGCTTGCTGTGGGTTCAGTGTAAGCCTTCAGAAACACAAGACACAATCAGATCAGACCATCAGTGAGACACATCACTCTAGACATTCAGAGATCAGTAACTGTGTGTTGAGTATCTGCTGCAATGCACAAGTGGAGTGCTATGACTGTTGGGCATTCATTGTTATTTTTGCTGTGCTGTAAAGGACAGCTTCTCTTTAAAGCTCAACAGTAAACTGCTTACTGCAAAACTTAGTTCTGGTTGACCCATTCTACATTTCTAATGATTTGATGAAGTTTAATGTGATACAACTGTACTAAATTTAAAATGCAAATGAGCTGTGCAGCTCTTAACTTGGCCATTACACTAACATACGAACCACAAACTTTTTCAATTGTTACACCCTTAAAATGAAGGGTTGTCCACATTAATAGCAAAAAAATCATCTATGCTTTCCAACACTGTATCCTCTCGAGAGAAATCAGTAAATCTGAGTACAGCAAAATAGACGCAAAGAGCACCATACCTGTATGACAGGAGTGTTGGCCTGTGGGTAGGCGGTGGGGATGCTATAGATAGTCTGGCATGGCTGACCCTGGTAATAGATGGCTGTCTGTGTCTGAGCCTGTGCTGGGGCCGTGGCGTACTGCTGCGCAGGCTGTGTCTGCACAGTCACTGCCTGCTGAGTTGTGGGATCCCAGAGAGTAGTGTAGCTCTGCTGGCCCTGTACCTGAGGGGCTGCCTGGGTAGGCACAGAGAGGACAGCTACGCCTGCGTCCTGGGTTGCTACAGTTGGCTGGGCATACTGTTGGGGGTTGCCAGTGGTGAGTTCAGGGGTGGTGATGTGCTGAGAAAGACTGGAGACTGGAGTGGCCTGGGAAGTGGAGGATGGAGAGGACAGTCCCAGATCTGATATAAGACGCTGGGGAGGTGTCTGTTCATAGTTCAGAGTGGGTTCAACTGCGGGAGTAGGAAGCAGAACTTTGCCTGCATTGGGGTTGGAGGGATCCACAAAGGTCTGAATGGGATATCCAGGAGGGTAGGTGATGAAGCCAGGGCTGGAGGCATACGCCAGAGAAGGGTCATAAGCCATAGTCTGAAGTTGCTGCTGCTGCTGTTGTTGAAGCTGTTGTTGTTTCTGGGCTTCCCGCTGAGCAACTTCCTGCTCGAACAGCTTTCTGCGCTCTTCTGTGGACAGCTTGTTACGCTCCTTGCCTCCAGCTCCTCGTGTCTTGCTGTTAGATGGGTCAAACCTTAAAAATCCAGAGAACAAGACCAAAGTTAAAGACTGCTTAAAGCTAGCTTGATTAAGAACTTTAATGCCACTTGGAATGCAATTTAAGACCAATTTTACAATAACCAAAACCAAAAGAAAAAAAAACTATGAATCACATCAATTTGTTGGGGTTACGGACAATTTTGCCCAAATGTTTGTTGTGACATAAAACATAACTTGGCGATTTTGTGTTTTATCACTGCGTGTTTGTTTGAAAAAGTTTGAAAAACTTCTTCCATAAAATATGTGTCATAGGCAATGCCTTATAGCGGTTTCAGCCATATCGCCAAAGCTCACTTACACTGTGAAAAAAATGTTTAAGGTAAAGTCAACATAAGTCTTTTCAGTGCAGTGACAGACACAGGGTGCACTCGTAAGTAGTCACATGCTGGACTGCTCATAAATTCAGAGCGCTGTTGGAATATACCATTCTGTTATTCAGAGCACCTCACTCTCGGAGCAGCAAAGTGTACTCTGGGCACTGTCTGAGGAGACGGAGCAGCAGATCCACAAGCAGAGTGAAAGTGAAACCTAACTCTTTATTAATTCAATTAGAAATCGGGAAAATGGTGCGACTCCACCTGAATCAAGCTCTGGGAAATATTGAGAAATACCCAACTGGGTATGGGCAGAGAATCAAAGCTCTACTTGGAAGACACTGTTCGCAATGTTTCCCCAATCGCAAGAGTTCTTACCGTTCCTCAGTGCGTCGGCTGCTCCTCTCGTAAGATGAGGGTGGAGAACTGGAGCGTCTCCTCCGTCTCTCCGTGCTGCGTTGTGGAGTTTTGTCGGAGACTCGGTCCCGGTCACGGTCCCGGTCCCGGTCGCGATCTCTGTCTCTGTCTCTGTCTCTGTCTCTGTCCCGCTCCCTGTCCCAGTCTCGATCCCTGTCTCTGTCATAATCTCGGTCTCGGTCACGGTCTCGATCTCGGTCTCGGTCTCTGTCACGGTCCCTCTCCTTGTCTCGCTCCCTTTCACGCTCTCGGCTACCAGAGGTGGTGCGTGGTGTCAAAGCCATGTCTCGATCCCGGCTGCGATCTGTGACAAATCCTAGTCAGTCAAACTCAAATGGAAAGAAATTCTAGGCAAAAAAAAAAAAAAAAAAAAAAAAATCAACATTAGACTAAACTTACCATTTGCTTCTTTTTCCACTTGACTCTTCTTTGGTATTCGGTACACCTCC